ATAGCCCCCATACCTTAAGGTAAGACGTATTCTACGTCAAAATAATAAACATTAAATAAACTAAAGAAAAATAGCCAAACCCTGCTAAAATTTCGCGCCTTTTTTATATTTTGGTCACTGTATGTATTCGTCGATTCGAATCACAGGCATTCAGTTTAGAAATAATAGCTGTTTATGGAGAAAATTACGATGATATACCAACAGCACTTAAAGCTGGTACATAGGCATGCAAATTTTAATGAGCAGTTAAGGAGTCAAAATAACGAACACCGAATACGGGGCAAATACAGGGCATTAAAAGAAATACAGAACATTTGGCGTCCCGTATAAAATAAATAAATTACCAGGACAATGGGTCAAAAAAGAGGACTGTGCCGTATAATACAGGACGGATGGTCACCGTAACGATAGGCTAAAAATAAATTATCGCCGGCTGCACATGTTACCCCCCCACACACGACGTATTGCCGCCAGCAACGTCTGTCACAAGCTGTGCATTATTGCCTTTATTACAATAAGCAAATGGCGTGTCGATGATGATATTGCAGAGTGTGTTTTGTGGTGATTGCGAAAAACATTCGAGCTCTATGGGCCGTCAATAAAATTCATTCGAAGCTGTTGACCTTTGACGGTACCAATGCACCGTAAATTGAACTAAGAAAATTTAAATTTTGTAATGTGCTCCCAGTGAGTAAATTACGGTGGTGCAGGCAATCAGTGTAGTTTCAACCAAGGAGAGATTGCATACAAAGTTAAAGGCATCTGTAGTTTTGCGTTCATATTGTAATAGCGCATATGGAAAAGTATTATTTTTAAGTCTTGCTATTCCGCATAAGCATTCGTTGTAGGTGTAGAATGGGGTCAGGGCCCGCGCGTTAAGTATAAGCGCTACAAATACCACAGTGGTTTTTCATCACCGCGTACGCGTACGTGAATTCTATTCGAAAACGTCTTGTTACCAAAAAAAAAAAAAAAAACAAACAATGTTCAAAAATCATCAACAGTACATTAGCAAAAACGCACGCACATTTGTATGTCTTCGACAATTTACACAGCTGAAAGAGTTGATACAGCTTGTGTTTATGTTTACTCACTAAATTTACGAATTCACAGATTTATAATCGTCTTTTTTGTTGCAAGCAATAAGGTGCAAATCGTAAACATTGGCGCGTGTTTTATACAAAATGAAATAAAACAGAATCGGTGTATTTGTGCTGAACACTAACATACGCCCGCACATATGTACGAGCTTCTAAAAACATACATACATACATACATATGTACATATAAGCAAAAGTGCTATCTATAAACAAGTGAAAATTTTAGTGCAAACAAATTAATTAACGAAAAGTATTCCCAATGTGACTGAAAAGTGAATAATCAGAGTGGCTAATGAAGTGTTTGTTTGTATGTATTGATCGATTCCAACAATTTCATTACGAGTGTACATAAGTTTGAAAATTGCACTATTGTTAGCTATTGTGTTCATGAACGTTGATGAAACGTCCAAGTTGACATATCTACATACATACATTCAGTTGTAAGCGACGCTAAAATGTCGAAAAAGCCACGAGGGAATATACACAAAATTCGAGAATTCGAGTTGGAAAAGGTAAGCCTAAGCTTAAAAAAGTAGCAAGTGATTACACCTACACTAAGAAAAAAAAAGTAACAATATTCTTTTTCGAACAGAGTCATTTTTGGTTTTTCCATGTTAAGGCGGATTCAGAACTTTTCCTCCATGTGGTTGTTGTTGTGTTTCGCTCTCTGAATAACTGAAAAAAGTTCTGAACGCTTTTAAGTTGTTAACTCAACTTCAACTTTAGTTCAGAACTAAGTAAAACGATGAATCTGCCTTTAGCGATTTAAAATTTTTGAACAGAAAGGGATTTTTTAAACCCACTTAAACACAAGTTAGTTCGATCGAGCACAGAGTGGTGTCCGGGTTCGGATTAGACGGAACACATCGATACCTGAGTGGATGATCGATCTATCTCGGCAGCCAGTTCGAAAACGCCCTATCTCAGAACACTTTTCAAGAACGCCTTACTTCAGAATTTGATTGAAGAGCACCTTATCTCAGTATTCGATTCAAACACGCTCATTCACAGCACATTTTCCATGCATTTTCAGTTGAGATAGGGCGTTTTTGAACCGAATTCTGGTATAGGGCGTTCTTCAATCAAATTCTGAATTAGGACGTTTTTGAAAGGTTTTCTAATATGGGGCGTGTATATGTATATAATGTGGTCCTCCCGATTTCTCCAAATTTTGTCGAGTGAACGACTTCAAAGACTTTTTTTCAAGAAAGCTTCACAACACGTGCTTTTAGTTGTTAATTTCATGAAACTCGTAATGAATGAAATCAATATACATACATACATGCATAAAATGTTATTTTCCACCAAGGTTTATTGGACTCATATTTTTTTACGTACAAGAAACTCGTATATTTATCCTCTATTTCCAAGATCTGGGCTATCCACCTTGGATTTCGAATTATTGAGATTTTACTGTATTGCGCACAAGCCCACAGTTTTAATACGACATCTACACCACGTTAGGAGTCGCATTTTCGAAGTAGGTTGCGCAATTTAGTATCAAGTTTTGTACTAAATGTAACAATTCAATAATATAAGGTCTCAGCTTTTGAGCTACGTTGTGGTAAGAGCAAACTAATGGAATGTTTAAACGAGCGCATTTCCTCAAAGCTAGGGTCCTTTACATTCGCAAATTTAACTGTGAAATAAAACAAATTTGCAAATCTTGTCGCAACTAATGTACACCCTGTCAGATTTTTCGGAGCATGTTTCCAAAAATAATGCATTTTTCGTACTTCTTTTTTTTATGGCATTTTCAGTCGGTAAGAGATAATTATAAAGCCTTCTACTTGTTTAAATTTTAAAAATATCACATTTCTGGACCTATGGAATATTTGATGTTCCTGCAGCTGAAGTTTGGTTCAAAAGCCTTAAGAATCTAAACTTTGTAACTAAAAAACAACATTTGGAAAGTAAACGTACATACATGAAAAGTAATAACTCTAAAAATAAAATAAAATAGTCGATAGATGGCGCTGGAGTCGAGATATATGAAAAACCCGTATTTATGGTCCAATTTGATACATATTTAGAAATCTTGTTTTAAAAGTATCTACTATTTTTTGCTCCTAACTTATTTAAAAATTCCTTATTTTCCCAGAATTTTAATAAAATCTATAATGCAAACAACAATAAACCGTAAATTTTACACATGTATGGATTTGCATAAACAACTCATTGGAAAGTTTTATTCATTGTGATAAAGACAATCAAAGAACTTCTTTTTGTATTCACATCATAAATTTATAAATTTTCCTAACGCATTGACATACTTACATACATACATATATACATACATATGAATTTTGTAGATATATAAATGCATGCATATGTATGTATATAATATTTAAATGTGTACGATAAAATCATGGCGTAATAAATAGATAGACGAAAACATAACACCACAGACAAAATACTTTGGCTCTAAGCCAAAAAGAAATCTTTCCGCGGCATGAAAACATTGAATATGGCGCACATTCAACTTGACTATTGTTTGCATTGTTCTTTTATTATAAGTAAAAACAAACTTATACACTTCTGATTAAATGTACAATCATAATTGCATTCACAAGAATTTTGTGTGAGAAATATTAAAAACTTAGTTGTAAAGAGAAACGAAAATTTTGTGGTGACGGGCCTCAAACACATCGAGTGTCTGGAAACGTTTAGTGCTCAGCCAGACACCGATGGAGCGCCCTTCCGTACCTGCCGTCCGTATCAACATATGACAACTTCACCGGCATGCACCGGTTTTACATCGGTAGCTGGTTGACCTCTCTCTAAACTATGATTTTTCGATTTTTCTAGTTTTTTTCAATTTAGATATCGCGAGATTTTGCTTCATTAGGAGCATTCATGCAACACCGAGTGTTTGCTCTTAAATTCACCTCTATACATATATCTTAAATTCACCTCTATATATATTGCTTCCGATAACCGTACAACTACAGAAGACTCCCTCTTTCTAAGGCAAACTAATAAATCAGATCAGTGGGTATCATGAGGGAGGCTCTAAATGTTCTAAATCATTCTTAGATCTACATACGTATCACTTTCAACGATATGGAACCTTGTTAGGTTACGATAGAAAATAATGTCGATATCTTTACCATTTAAATAATATGTAATGCAGTTCTTCTGTTTTGTTTTTCTGATTTCCACAGATCCATTTGGTCGATGAATTCGACATTTTACAAATTGTGGGTGAAGGATGGTTTGGAAAAATCTTGCTGGTCGAACATCGCGGCTCCCAAACCGAAATGGTGTTGAAGGCCGTGCCAAAGCCATACGTCTCAATTCGTGACTTCTTTAGAGAATTCCATTATGGACTGCATCTGGGCATACACCGGAATATAGTGACCACATATGATGTGGCCTTCGAGACAGCGGGTTTCTATATATTCACTCAAGAGTATGCGCCACTAGGTAAGCGGCGAGCTGTACTTTGCTAATACGAATTTTGTCTATTATATATTTTTGGTTTTCGCCAACGAATTGAAGGTGATCTCACATCTAACATGACCGATACAGGAGTTGGTGAAGAATACTCTAAGCGTTTGGCCAAACAGATCGGTGCGGCCCTGGATTACATGCATTCAAAGTGAGTACCAATTACACGAATGGATCGATATAAGTCATCTTAATGTTGTTTCTAATTTAGAGACATTGTACATCGAGATGTGAAACTGGATAATGTGCTAATATATCGATCGGATTTTACACGTGTCAAAATATGCGACTTCGGCGAATCCTATCAGGCAGGCACCATTGTTGAGCGCCGCAACGAATGGCTCCCCTATAGTCCACCAGAAGTATTAGAAATCAAACCGGAAGGCACATACACGTAAATATAACGTTGGATAGGAGGAGAAAATGTTCATTGCATACATAACTAATTGGAACCATTACTTACAGAGCCGAACCCAGCCATGATGTTTGGCAATTTGGCATTGTCATCTTTGTCTGTCTGACTGGCTGTTTGCCTTGGCAAAAGGCCGCCTCCGATGATCCGCGTTATGTACGTTACCTAGCGTGGTTTGGCGCAAACATTCTGCCCATGCGTCGGACACCGAAACTCTTTAAGTTACTCACTTCGCGCGCTCAGCGCATGTTTAAACGGTTTTTGGATCCACGCGCGGAGAGACGACCGAAAAATTTAACTGATTTAGCAAAGTTCCTTGACGATCGTTGGTTATCAAAAACAGCCGAAAAAGAAATGGCCGAATATGAAACCGATGAGCTATGTCCGTCCATGTATTCCTTTCATAGCAGCCCCGATGAAAAGAACCGACTACTCTACACACTGGCTAATTGTGGCCTAGAGACAAATGTCGATCGGCAATCAAAGAAAAATCGCATCAAAGATTGGATCGAGGCATCCGTTATCACAGAGGAGGATGAGGTAAGCTGTGTATTGGAAAAATACTGTTTTTATTCGTGGTTACCAAAATCCGTGATATTACACATTAAGGAATTTGTATTTAAAGTACATTGAAAAAAACTATTAGGCACAACGCGAATTTAGAAAGGGACACAAAATTCATTGCAGCGCTTGAAAGAATTTTTTATTGAAAACATATTTTCTATTTGCAGGAGGAGCTGGACGATGCCTCGCCCTCATCTTCAGTGTCTCGTGAGCCAGTTGCTGGACACATCTCTTCCATTCGTGCCACCCTGGAGAAAAACAACGGATTCAACACCACTCTGAAGGATGCTGCTCAAAAACATTTTGACCCCCGCACTGGCGCTTTGCAGGAGGGTCCCAGCGAAATGGGCGCCATCACGCAGACACACCAAAAATCATACAGTCCTTCAATTGGCAACATGTCTACAATGAATAACGGTGATAGCCTTGCCGGCAGCCTGTTGACGTTGGGCTCCCGCCCGGATCTACTACAAAGTCATTTAGAAATCTATAATTCTGATTTCAATTTGAGCCGTTTAGGTGAGCAAACAAAATCAGCTCAATTCTACGGGCATAACCAATCGCTTAGCAGCAACAATTTACTAATGGCCGACTATGAAACGGCTTATAATTACTCAAAGAATAAAAGCAGCGGTGCCGTTGCTACGAAATCTGTTGGCTTAGACACGTATGGACTGCCAAATGAACATAGGAAAAGCGCTTTAAAGCGAACTAAATCTGATTCTGTAAAAACCGTTATGTTCGCTAGTATGCCTGCTATCAATAATAGTGACGCTTATGCTGCTGGATTTAAATTGCCGCAAACGCAGCCACTAAACAATGCTACTAATCAAACGCTAACCAGTGCTAATGCACCAAATGCCACATCTTTTTCTTCAAATGCAAATATTACTAACGATAGCAATATGCTCATAGGCAGCGGCGATGCAACGAAGCCCAATTCATCTGTGACGTTGTCGGGACTAGCTAATGCCTTCCATTCACTTGCCTCGATCTCACTACCGACTAAGGCAGGCACTCCGGAAAAGCACCAGCAGCAACAGCAACAGCAACAGCAACAAGAACTGCAAAAGCAAGCCCAGCAGCAACTTAAGCAGCAACAGTTCGCAACACATTATTTAAAACAACAAGAGAATGGTTCCTCAGTCAGAGATAGCGCCTACGGATCTGCAGAGGTCAGCGAGGGTCCATCGCGCACAGTAAGCTATGCCTCGATGAAACCACAATTCAATGGTAATGCTGATTATCAGAATGGCGGTCAACCAAATGGTAACCGTAGCCGCGCTTTGAGTCCAGATGGGCGTCAACGACGGCCAGAGGAACAGCAGATTTATAGAGGTGCGCGAACGGGTAGCTTAAAAGATTCACCCTATGATAGGATCACTGTGACAAATAATAAGAACAATCGAAGATAAATTGAGTAGTGCCACCAAAGATATCCATTCAAATAAAAGTGATACCACTGATATGTCTAGTCTTAAAAGTTCGCTTTTCGTCTTTACATACATACATACATATGTTAAATACCCCCTTTTTTAAACCTAAATATAAAGCTACAATAAATAAATGTAACATAAACTGTAAATTATAGCAGTTTCGGTTGAAACCATTTACAAGTTTTAATACAAGTATTCGAAGTTTATATAACAACAGTATCAGCCGGGTTTTGGTGATCTAACCCTATTTAGAACGGTCAACCGTTGTCTGTCCGTTTAGCAACACACTTCAGCATAGTTGTTCGTATACTTCTGTGTGGGGCAGCATTGAGTCCAATCAGACCAAAAATCTGCTTCGGCTCCGCATTCTAGAGACGGGTGTAGCCTGGTTTGAGCCTAGGTTCACAATACATATGGCCCTACCATGTCGGTGTCTAATTCGCGCACTACGCCGATGCAAGCAAGCAACCAAGAAGCCACGGGCTCACCTAAGCAACAGATGAACTTCTTACGCATTCCTCCCGCTCACCCACTGACATCCGGCATCAAATATCGTGTGAGGCCCAACTACATAGTAGCTTATGGTCTCTTGTTGTTGTTGTGGTTTTTGTCGGGGCACTACTAAGCCTCACCTACTTCGGTTCATCCTTCAATCAACTCACGGTAGGCCCACGGTAGGCCCAGAAGGAGAGGGGTGTTAGCTGAGTGGGAATGAGCTGATATGTGAAGAGTTGGTTGGTGACATGCGGGTAGTCTCCACGTCGGACACTCATTGGGGATATTTGGGTCGAGTCTGGACAGGTAGCTGTTGAGGCGGCTATGGTATCCATACCGTAACTGGGCCTAGGTAACGCGGGTCTCTTTTGGAAGTTGAAGCGGTGATTTGGCTCCGATCATTGCATTCATACGCCGAGTGTCGGGGTAGGCGGTTACCGACTCCGTATAAATCTCGTTGATCGCTCGTCGGTGCATCGTCGGGTCCAGTAGTCGGTCGATGTATGTCTAGACCGCGTCCTTATATATGACCCTCTAGCAAGAGTATGTTAGGCTGTTCACTTCACTGCTTACAGAGAATTTTGTTGTGCTCCCTTACGGGGAGCAACTGGGCTTCACTGTGTAGGTGGTGCTCAGGCGACTTCACAAGGCATCCTTTCGCTATCCGGAGTGCGGCGTTCTGACAAATCTGTAGCTTCGTCCACTGCGTCCAACTTGTCCTCGGCGACCCAACTGGCGAAGCATAATTTAGAACCGGCCAGCCAATCGCCTTGTATGTTGCCAGCAACGCTTCTTTGCCGGTGAGCGACAACTGCGGTTGTGTGCGTGGAGAGGACGAGCAGGCTATGAGAGGTCGCCCCTAAAACTTTAGGCTGGTTTACTGTCGGTATTGGTGTGCTATTGGGGTGAATGTCCAATTCAAGCCTGACCCCCATAGTCCAGGTGGTGAAGAGGGTCGCCGTTGATTTCGTTGCGGAGTGTGTAGAGATAGCCGTTTATTTTTGAGCAGAGGTCATCAGTTCCATTCTCAGACGCCAATATCGAGCAGTTGTCAGCGCATGAGATCAGGGAAACTCCTTCAGGTGGCTGGGGGAGCTTCGAGATGTAGAAGTTAAATAGTAAGAGGGGAGAGGAGACCACCCTGTGGAACCTCTTGTTTTCTTCTTCTAGGTTTCGAGGTTAGATCTCGGAAGATTACTGACAACTTTTGACCACTCATATAATTTGTCGACCACCGTTTGAATCCCTGTGGGAGAGAGGAATCCTCAACGTATTCTAGCAGATTGGAATGGCAGACGGTGTGAAACGCCTTTGACAAGTTCACCGCTACTAGGACTAGGAGTTTTTTGGGTGTTTATGGCGTTAAGTGTTGTGGTTATGCTATGCACTTTACGGAAGGCATGCTGATGCTTCGAAGTGGTCAGGTGGTAGGTGAATTACGCGAGTAGCAGGGCCTCTAGTGTTTTCGCGACCGGTGAAAGGAGCGGTATCGGGCGATAGGGTCACCTTTGCTGGCTGGTTTCCAAGGTTTCAGCAGTGGGACCACTCTCCCTGATTCATAGGTTGAGGATCTCCGTTAGGTATGCTACTCCTGCGGGCCCCATATGTTTCAGCATCAGCATAAAGATTCGCTTCGCCGCTGGGCAGATTTGTGCAGCCTCCTGGTCACTCGACGTTTGGCCTTGTCTACCGAAGGATGCAGTATAAACTGCTGGGTAAAATAGCTCGCGCATTTCTTTGGGTCCGACGAGGTGCGACCGTCGAAAGAAATTTCCACTCAGTCGTCGCGGCTCGTAGGGTTGAACAAAGACCTCACGGTTGACTAGAGCTTACTCACACCAGAGGCGAAGTTAAAGGTATTCAAGTGCTCTACCCACTTTTTCCTCTCATGCTTGTTTACCAGTTGCCGAATCTCCAAATTAAGGTCCTTCAGGCGAGGATTCCCAGAATCGAACTGGCGTAGGTGGCCACGCTCATTTGCTAGAACAGCTACTTCAGTCGGGAAATTCGGGCGGACTTCCGCGATGCGTCCGGATGGTATGAAGCAAGCCGCTGCGCCAGTGACTACCCTGCGGACTTGGCCAGCGTATACATCTGCCAGCGTATCCACTCAGCTTTGTTGAAGTTGATGTAGGACTGAAGACTGCTATATCTTCAGTCTTGCTCTGGAGTCCGTTGACGTTCAGTTGTAGGAGTTTCGTATGGCATGGGAGGCTGGTCCCGATACGGGGGGTAAGCGACGTGTGGGGTCTTCCTTAGACCTGTTGCGTCCGCCGCGGCAGTGCTCTGCAGCAGGCGGCGCGGTAGCTTGTTGTCCATCGCGTCTGGTGCGTATGCCGGAGCATAGGTGGGAGTGGCACCAGCCAAAGTATGTGTTGCAATTGATGGATGCCATATTCCGGTATACCCTATTCAGGCACACGGATCAGATGGCGTGGGCAACCAAGAGCTGCTGGTTGGCTTGCACACGGGAGGCATTTGGGGAGGCTGGTAGAATGGTATGAGGGGTGATGGGGTGGGCAGGTTTACTGATGTTCAGGGGAGCTTCTTGAAGCCGTGTAGGCTCTTTAGATGCTAGTAGGGTTACAAAGCTTGTAGTCCACTCCCTGTGAACCTAAGGCCAGAACAGGTTCTTAGGTTGCAGGAATTGCACCTGGCCGAAGTGGAGTTCGGATGCAGTCGTCTCTGTCAAACGCAGCAGAAGTATGTTTCTAATCCGGGATTGGGCTCAATGCCAGCTCGAAGAAGAAGGATGCGGAGCCATCCGGCTGGAAGGTATTGCTCCATGGGCGTGAATTGATTGAAGGGTATCGCCGATCTGAACGGGGTTAGGTCGCCGAGACAACAGCCCTTGGTCGGGTAAAACCGAGTCATTTCGGTGCGTAGAACCGGCTCTCGTGGAAATGTCCGTTTTCGCCATTTTCATGTTCGTCTGCATCTCCGTCTTCGTATCCGTGGTTGGTCAGTAAGTGAATCATTGAAATGTAATTTTTGAATAAAAGTTAAAACCCGGCCCGCATGTATCTACGAATGTAATTCAAATAGCTACATGTGTACCGATGATGAAAACATTTATAAAATATCGACTACTTTATTTTTTCTAGTCATTTACACCTTATTAGGCGTTCCGTAGTTCTGCATATCCAGTTTATTTCCGGCTTGTGAAAGCGCTTCTCATCCGGCTTTTTACCATCAGAAATATATTTACGAAATTGGGAGCACTTGTACAGAGAGTATTATACCTTTGTTCGCCTAACGGTTGTTTGTAACAGCCTAAAGGAATCGAGATAGATATAGACAAATGTATACTTAAATTATCAGAATAAAAAGAGAAATCGATTAAGCCATATCTGTCCGTCCGTCCGTCTGTCCGTGCACTCAAGAAAAAATTTATATATCTTTTATCCAAGGTAGGTTGCTATTGAAAATCCCCCTTCTCATTTAACGGTATTTTCGAAAAACGCAAAAACTATGATATTTCAGTACATATTGGATCAAATTTGTTCAAAATCAGTACGTGAATTACAATTTTGGTGCAAAATAATATTATTAAATTTTTGGAAAAGGGGCGGGACCCCGCCCACTTATGATGAAATGCTGTATCTTAATAGCCGCCGCTTCACCAATCCTTACCAAACTCGGTACGAACCTTGCTTAGAATCCAGCTAAGAAATTTGTTGAAAATCTTTGCCCACCTCCCATATAACGGTAATTTACAGAAGCAATTATAAATTATATGCAATAAATTATAAAAAGCAATTCGTTGAAAATTATTCAAATCGGACTAAAATTGCACCGGCTTCTCGTATAACGGTATTTTCCGGCTATACGAAAACTCCGATATTTCAATAACTTGGGACGTTCATTTACTTTCGTTCAAAGATTCAACGAATCGCCGGCAAAATGTTCCTACGGAATGTTTCTTTGACCGAAGCCCTTATTGCTTCAGCTCACATCAATGACTGCATCTATGATCTGGTACAATTTAATTTATGTACACAAAATGGGGCAAAACTGAATACCTTGAAACTCTTGCACTTACGATAAATAAACAAAAAGTTTGTTTTGTTAATCCTTATAAAACGAAGTCTCCCTTTATTTCTAACATTTACAGCCACAAAAACTTTTTAACAAGGCAATGCAATATGCATTGATGAGAGCTGTTCGTAATGTTCCTTTGCCCTGTCCCGTTTACTTAAGTGGAATAAATCTGGAGCTGTGGGTGGCACCAATACCGGGCCTACCGTGCTTAACGGGTTTGTATGTCAGTGAGAATTCTCCCAAGTAGTGACCAATCATTTCAGGCTTGATTTCCACCTAAAATTACATAAAACAGCGTATCATCGGTAATTGTATTCCTGAAATTCAGTAGTCTTTTAATTACCTGCGTGAAATCTTTGCCGTTGTATACACCGATGATGGAACCAGTCATCTCGGGAACAATGATCATGTTTCTTAAGTGAGTCTTCACAATTTCTGGTTTCTCATTTGGAGGAGCCTCCTTCTTGGCCTTGCGCAATTTCTTGATCAGTGCCATGGGTTTGCGTTTCAGACCACGAGAGAATCGCCTGCGTGCACGGCTGTGCATCAGTTCAACCAGCTGGTTGCTAAAATGAACGAGATTTAAAACTGACTGCAAGAAATCTGGTAAAACAAAACTTACTTGGGCATGTCCAACAGTTGGTCGAGGTCCACACCGCGGTAGGTGAACTTTTTGAAGGTACGCTTCTTCTTGAGAGTTTCTTCGACCTGCAAATAGAACAAAAACAAGAGGTCAATATTTGTGGTACAAATATATTAACGGCTATTTGTCTTATATTATGCCACTGTTCTAAGGTATATATCACACAAACCCCATAGAAACTAATTCAAGCTCACATTTAATACAAATTAACACAACTTTTACAAGGATGCGGTATATTTTTTAGGATTTTTGATAAGAAAATTACCTCAGCCATCTTGACGTTTCTGATTGCAGAACGGAAAGAAAAATGGAAGGTAAAGTGCTGCCAAATTGGAAAAAATTTGGGTTTGATATCTGATGGTTGGTAGAACTGCATGATTGAATTAAGAAATGTCAATTTCCAGAGTTGCTTGTGTTAAAGGAAATTTACTTTAACTTCAATAAATCTAAAATCTATAAATTTAACGAACAGTAGAGAACAATCCATTGCAATACAAAAATCTTAGTATTTATACTATGAAGTGCTAACGTCGGTTTCAAATATCATGCAAGGAACGTAACGAGAATTACGACATATGGGTCACCTGTTGCAGCACAGGACGGTCATAGTAATTGGATTCTTTATCTGCAAATTCTAGAGCGCAACCGAGAGAGCTAGAAATGCTTGCAAGAAAAATTTTCTAGCAGGAATTTGCAGGAGTCAAAAAGTAAGGTTATGCTTCAAATGCAAAAGTGAACAAACTGTTTAAAGGATGATATGATGAAACATAATGAGTGAAATGAAAATATGGATGAAAAATTTAAATCTATTGTATATCTTTTTATTTTTATGACGAATTGGGAATAGTTCCCCCCAATTAAAAAGAAAATTGCGCGCCAAAACTTAACCGTCAGAAAGTGTCATAGATCTCGATCTGGGGCCTATTTCATAAAAGTGACAGGTGCGACAATTGTCGATTTTTCTATAAAATTTCAGAACCAGAACTGTTGGCGACATTTTTTTTTGTTTCATATACGCTTGTAGGCAACTATTATCTCTACATGTCGTCTATTTATCCAGCGATTTTGTTTTTTCCAACCGCTCAACCTTATTAACCAGTTCATCGAGATTCAAATCGTCTGGGATATTGAATGCACTCTGAAATTGTAAACGTTTCAGATAATATTGAAGGATGAAATTTGATATTTTTCGTTATACCTGTCTTTCCTTTAATGTTTGTATTTTGCCCTCTATCAAAATTTTGTTGCGTTGCATTTCTGATTCGGAAATCAGCCTCTTATTTACTGATGTTGTGAATCTAAATAAATGTTAATGAGTGAATCAATATGCGATTGTTTAAGCAAACAAAATTACTTTTCAAGCAAATTAGCTTCTGTTATTTCTTTCTGCAGCTGCTTCTCTTGTTCTTTAATCTCTGCTAACATTTTTTCGGCAGTAAGATTGTTTTCTAAGTGCTCTCTCCGCTTGATATAATAAAATTCTTTTAAGTATTCCAATTGAAGATCATGTAGTTGTGTTACTTGTTGGAGTGCCACACATTCTTCCAACATAGCGCCGACATCATCCGGCAAATCACAAAGTTCGAGTCCCATCAGGCGCAATTGATGCTCGTAGTGCTCTCCTGCCATGATGTAAGTAGGATATTAAATGGATGCGACACTATTTCACAAACTTACTCAATTTTTGCAGGGATTGCACATCATCTTGTAACTGAAAATTGTCTGTAAGGAAAAGAAAAGTTAATTTTGAATTAAATAGTAATATATGTCTACTTTTTACCCATTATTTCTGTTTTTGATTACCAGCGATTTGCAGTTGGCGTTTATTTTGATTTATCACCAGTTTTCAATTAAATGTCAAAATATTTGTGTTCGAATTTGGCAGCACTTTTCGTTGTTTGATGTGCTACCAAGTCAACTAAAATTTTTTGTTTTCCCATTTACAGCGCCACCTACCTCTGAAGCTCCCGTTGTGACAATTATTTTTTGGCGCGCTTCCATTAAACAGCTGTTGAGTAAACAGAATTGATAAACACTAGTCGAACACAACAATTTGCATGCATTTAGTCAAGGCGAATGTATACATTTATATTACATACATTTAGTAAAAATGCAAAACGAATTAATTAAAATCAGACGTTTTCTTAAGGAGCGCCTGCAGCGAGATTATACAACATTGCATGGTCATAAAACTGATCGTGAAAACGTGAGGCAGTTGCTCCAGCGTACTGTGGAACTTGGCGAGTCAAATTCCCTATTGCTTATTGGTCCCAGAGGATCAGGGAAAACAACTGTAAGTGTGAAATAAAAATAAGGCAAGTATGTATACATAAAAGCGTTAAAGTATACATACTTCTTTAGTTGATTAATGCAGTGCTTGCTGACCTGGTGCCAACAGCGGATTTTCAACAAAATACAATTCTGGTGCATCTAAATGGGAATCTACACACAGATGACAAGTTGGCACTTAAATCGATCACCGTACAAATGCACCTGGAAAATGCAGCAAATGGAAAGGCTTTTGGTTCATTCGCCGAAAATTTAGCGTTTCTCTTGGCATGCCTAAAATCGGGGAATAAACGTTCGAAAAGTGTTATTTTTATATTGGAAGAGTTCGATCTTTTCTGCGCGTATCACAACCAAACACTGCTGTACAATTTGTTTGACGTTTCACAGTCGGCCCAAGCACCGATTTGTGTACTAGGAGCAACATGTCGGCTAGATGTTATCGAATTGCTGGAGAAGCGTGTGAAGTCTCGGTTCTCTCACAGGTAAAAACTGGAATTTTCATTGTAAACACTTCAAAATGCACTAACACTTGCTTACAGGCAAATTTTTCTTTTCCCAACTGCTGATACATTTGAAACGTATCTGGACCTCTTTGAAGCATTGCTAAGCATACCAAACGAAAAGGATATGAAGCAGATAGCAGAACGCGTTTCACATCTAAAAATGCTAAATTCAGAAGAGTTAGTAATTCATCGCAATCACTTCGACCCTGCCAAGTACAAGTTCAACAAAAAATTCATGGAAAATTGGAACAACAGCATAGCTGTTTTGATAGATGATCCCAAATCTGCAGCGATGATTTCATTGCGATCATATTATGACACTGATAAGAGCGAATCATTTTTAAAAACGCTTTTGTTTCGTCTTGTAGCCCAATTAGATCCAGATTCACAACCTCATATAACATCAGAACAGATGTGCGAAGTTATATCCTCGTATACAGTTGACCCGAGAGTAGAAGTGCTCTGTGGACTTTCCGTTCTTGAACTATGTCTTGTGATTGCCATCAAACACCATTCAGAGATATACGATCGTGACCCATTCAATTTCGAAATAGTATTCGCTCGCTTAGGAAAGTTTGCTAAAGTCTCAACAACTATGCAGGGCATAGAACGTGCTGTTTCCTTGAAAGCATTTGAACGCCTACGACATATGGAAGTAATATTGCCGATTTCTAGCGTTGCGGGCAAAATACAAAAAGATTTCGAAATGCATCGCCTTGCACTAACTTATGGTCAAATCAACGATGCCGTTCACAAGTATCAAGCACTGCCCACAGAAGTTGCACAATGGGCACATAGCTCCATATTATGATGCGGTTCAAATTAATATTATTATAAGATAGGTATTTATCTATTTTTTTGTATGTTTTTTATTACATTAAATATAAGTTTAAAGCCAGCTGTACTATCCTTAGTCAGATTTCTTCCATTCTACTGGATGTTTACGGCCAACGCGGCAGAAATGTGAGCACTTGTTGCTGCCGCACTTCTTGCATTCATACCAACAACCAGGACAATTGGCATATGGGCAATCACATGGATCAACCTCTTTGTCCTTTGGTGCTTTAAAATCAAAGACCCTGGGCCGTCCGTTAAAGCGAGGTTTGCCAGCCTTAATATTTTCCATCTTATGTAAAAATATTATGCCTTTAGTTTATGTTTAAAATTTCTGGAGAACCGATTCTATTACCGTTATATCGAAATGCAAGGATGAATTTATTGGCAGTCGCTGATGTCACATGCTGTCGTAGCAAATTGTACTAAAGGTGCCCACACTCACCGACGTGTACGTATGCCGTATCTGTTTGACGTAGCAACATATAAAATTTACTGTGTTGTACACGGTGGTGAGTTTTCATTTACATGGCACTCGCATAAGTTTGATCGGGTGCGCCACACTCACGTACGCTAACGTGTCAGCTGACACGATCAAACTTATGAGAGCGCCATGTAAATGAAAACTCACCACAGTGTACGTACCACGGTTACGCGTGCTTCTCTCTATATCAACTATAAATTTTATATGTTGCTACGTCAAATATACACGGCATACGTCCACGTCGGTGAGTGTGGGCACCATTATTCTGCATAATAGGTCTGTTCGATGATTTTTGGCTTTTGATACATGTTGGACACAAGCTGTGTTTTCTTCGGCAATGTTCGGGATCCGGGTACTTTTCCCCATTTAGAGAGTTCATTTTTATAGTTTCGTCTTCCTCGTGCTAGTAGTATTAAATTTGTGCTGTGAACCCCAATAAGAATGATCCAGATCGTTTCCGTGAGAAATAATGGTGATACCGAGCTCGATATCCGAAAAAAAAAACATAACTACAATGTTACCAGTTGCGTTCGACATGTCAAAAATTTGTAATGGTTGGGGTGTTCAGAGTTCGTTCCAAATTGTGTCTGAAAATGTAGACGTCTACATTTTGAGACATCTTTAGCATCAAACTGTGAGCACTGCTTTCTAGCAGTCGTCGCAAAATCATCTCACAACTTTGCTGGTGTTGCCACACATTTCTTCTTTGCGTGCATTTTTTATATGTCGCCTTTCGATTTTGTTTCTGAAAAGTTGTAGTTATTTAACTTATTTACCAATTCCTAATATTTGTTATTTCTTTTTCTTGATTTCTTTCTTTTCATCAGAAATTGCGCTCAAATTAAATGCAAATACAGAAAACTTGCCCAATAAATAAAAAAAAAATGTGATTAGTATTGCCATAATGCAACCCTGCTGCGAGGTTGCAAAATGTAGACACGTAAAAAACATACCTTTGAGTGTGACAAAATGTAGACGGCGTCGTTTTCCAATTTTGTATGGGAAACAACAACACCACAGATTTTACGGTTAGAAAACGTCTTAAAATGTAGACGTCTACATTTTCAGACACTATTTGGAACGAACTGTGAACACCCCAAGTTTTTCCAATTTTTTACTAGATGGCGTTCGATAACGACAAAAAATTATCCAACACACAAAAATTGAGAGAGTAAGCGTTCATTTTGATGCAAGAGAAGCGTTCATTTTGTACTGGCAAAATTTTAGGCAGCAAAAATTATCCAACACGAAAACATATGATCACAAAACATATATAGTCTGTTCCAATAGCAGTCCGGTTTACAGGATTTAGTCAGAACTTACAGGAAGTCGTTCCTATTGACATAAAACCTGTAAGTGGGAACACATTTGAGAGAGTAACTGAGCAACTGTTCC